TTTAAATCTTGCTAAGGTTTGTCTTGTGATACTCTCTTCCTCATTGACTGACACTAGTGCTCATATTGTGTTATACACCTTAATCTGACTAAAATGGTTTGTAGTACTCACAAATGTGGAGAACTACATTGTTTGTTCCCTGTGGACGAAGGAATAAAGTGTGATGAATGCAAAAGGTGGTTCCATAAGATGTGCACTCGTCTAAGTCCCACTGCGTACAAAAGATGTACAAAGCCTAACTCACATTGGCTTTGCATGTTTTGTTGTGCAAATAAGACGTTACTAATACAAGAGGCTATGAGCCTATTGGCTTTGGCCTGTAAGAAAAACGATAGGGCATGCACTGATAACACGAGCACAGACAGTGACGAATGTGTCAGTGTAGTACCTGCTGTTACAAGACGCCTCAAACACCTGAATTTGATTGACGGAAAAGTGAAATCTCCGTTAACATCAACGAGGGAAGAAGCACCACCTGAAACTGCCATCGGTAACCATGTACCTCTAGTGGAAACTAAAGATCTGAATAAGACCGTCACTGTTCCAAATAGTCCCAGTGTCCTGAGGGATGAAAAATGGACTACAGTACGGAAAAAACGAAGCCAAAAGAAAAAGGCTGTGGACAGTGCGCAGGTGGTTAGCAAGTCATTGGTGGACTCCCATTGTGAATCACAAAACGCACTACCGAAATCCCATAGTAAGAGGGAAAACCACCCAGGTGTGACTGAAAGGAATCTGATATCATCGAATATTATTGCTAGCAAATTACTGGAGTCAAACGACCCTGACCCCAAAATTAGACGTGCACATGATTTAGAGAAGTTGGGAGAATATATTCTTAGTATTTTACCGGATAACTCTAAAGGAGTACAGGTCAAAAAGCTGGTAAGAATAGGCAAGAGGACCGAAAACAATGCTGAACCTCGACCATGGAGACTCCTTAAGGTAATCCTAGGATCAGAGAAGCAACGGGACCACCTGTTAAGTAATGCTCGTTGTCACGACAATTCCGATATCCGAGTTAGACCTGATATGTCTCTCGAAGATAGAATAAAAAGAAAGAAAGCACTAGCTGAACTAGAAATCCGCCAACAAATGGTGAGGAAAATCTCCGGTTAGTGGGTTTTCGGATAGTCAGGTCTTGGAAGCGAACGCTACCAAGGCCAGTATGGATAGACCGTTCTACCTAGGAGTCTTATATGCCAACGCTCGTAGCCTAAGAAATAAGTTCTATGAGCTAGGAGCATTAGTGGACAGATTAAGGCCACTCATTGTAGCAGTGACAGAAACTTGGTTAGTCTTTAGTGCCTTATGGTAACCCTCGCGTTATTAATAGAAGAAACCAGACTCGTAGGGAAATAGGTCTTTATTTTGGTCTTCGCGCAGTCACAGTGGAGCGTGGGATTCTTTACTCAGACAAACAAAACCTCTCAACAAGCAATATAATATAGATAGAAATATAACGCCTAAACAAAATGAAGAAGTGAATAAATATCTGAACTATGCTGTTTTGATATATGCTTAGTTGCTTGAGATTAACTCTTGACAACCAACCTAAGCTGTTACATTAGCTTCCCCCTAGAATCGACTTCCGTAGGAACGTCGGTTCGATAACCTATTTATCAAAAGTATTTAAGTTCTGTTTCCGCAGTCCAAGGGAGGATTATCAACTCGCTCACTATGACTTCAAATCAATGACAACTCCATCGGTCCGTGGATGTCTTTTCATTCGCCATCTTATTTTGTAGCATGCAATTTTTACTACACTATAGCTGTCGGTTTGCAACGTGCTCGCAAGAGAAAGAGTTTGAGAAAATGGGACAAGAATGTCTGAGGAAGTGCCGCGAGCGGGCTACCCAACACCATGTTGGTGAGGTACGATTTTTCCATGCTCTGTCCGGCTATCAGGTGTTTACTCACCTGCTTCTTGAGTCGCCCTCAAGTAAAAAGTAAAGAAGAGTCTACTTCAAAGGTAATTATGAAAATCAACAAAACCTGAAGAACTGCTCCACTGCCTGCATAAAATAATAAGGTACAAAATGTAAATACATAAATATAGTTGATAATTATTCGGTTTCACTTGTTTTGCCTCGAGAAAAGATTGCTCGTCTGGAAGGAAATAGAAATAGTGTAGACATCTTGTGTACGAAAAAGTATAAACACAAAACAAGAAAAATACTCTTTTTGAATGCATATATGAGTGTGTGTTAAAATTTTTATTAAAAAATAAATATCTGAACTATGCTGTTTTGATATATGCTTAGTTGCTTGAGATTAACTCTTGACAACCAACCTAAGCTGTTACAAGTCCATGACTTCGACATTACTCCAGAATTATCGGGATACCATTACCTAAGGAGTGATAGACACAGTTGTAGAAAAGGAGGTGGCGTCCTGTTATATATATCCAATAATATAAATATATGCTCCTTTGTTAGCGAATCCCATGACAGCGGTACTTGTGAAGTTATTAGCTGTAAATTGGATATCGGATGTAGTACGTTTATGCTCGGTGTCATCTATCGCAGCCCAATCTCCTTAGCTGATGACTTTATTCTAGAGCACATTCATCTTTGGAGTACCAATACCAGATGCTTGATAATAGGAGACTTTAATGCACCTGACATTAGCTGGACTGAAATGACCACAGAAGGATCTATAAACTCCTTTGATAGTAGGTTCCTGATAACAATAATCGAGCATGCATTAGTGCAGCATGTAGCCAAACCTACACGTTTTGGTGCTAACCAAGGTTCTCTGTTGGACTTGGTAATCACTCATGATACTGAAGATATTGTCGACCTAAATGTTCTCCCGCCGTTAGTGAACAGTGATCACGCTGTTTTGTCCTTCTCGTTTAGAACTAGGGACATGTTATACGATCAGGTCACACCCCGCCCAAATATCTGAAAACCTAACATATCAGCCATTCAGGATTGCGCTGCTAAGACAGATTGATTTGTAGATACTAGCTTATCAGTTTAAGAAGCAGGGTCTGTATTTAAAGGTAAGTTTAGTTTAGTTACATCCTCGTTCATACCATACCTGATACCGCGAAGATCGAACAATAGTCCACCATGGATAACCAAACCAGTTAAGAAACTTCTTAGAAGAAGGAAGAAGCACTGGAATATGTTCATCTCTACGGGCTTAGAACAATACCGATCCATTTATTGTAAGACTAGGAATGCCTGTAAAGCTTTAATAAGTAAGATTAGACGATCATACGAAAAGCAATTGGTTAGGGATTCTAGATATAGTCCGAAACGGTTATTCTCGTATATAAAAAGGCGAACTCAGAGAAGTGATGGAATTCCATCACTTTTGATACAAAAAATCCGTTAATCTTGGCAGAAAATGATACCGAAAAAGCTGAAGCTTTATCGAAATATTTCAGTAAAGTGTTTTCCATCACTAATGAGGAACGACCAACGATTCATTATGACCGTTACGGCTCGCTGATGGATCCTGTGGTCATTGAGAAAGGCACTGTTTTAAGGCTACTTCAGCATATCAAACCTGATAAGTCCAGTGGTCCTGGTAATATTCATCCTAAGATTATGAAAGCCATATCAGATTAAATTGCTGAACCTTTAGCGATACTGTTTGACATGTCTCTGAGACAGTCCAGACTGCCCAGATACTGGAAAGACGGTATAATAAGTCCGTGTATAAGGCTGGGAGTAGGGATTTAGTTAGCAACTATAGACCTGTTAGCTTAACGAGTGCAGTTGTAAAACTGATGAAAGAAATCATTCGGATATCTGTTATAAACTATGTTGAAAGGCATAATCTTTTCTCTAAGGAACAACATGGTTTTCGGAGAGGCCAATCGTGCTTGACAAATCTTCTCATTGCAAGAGAAGATTAAGCTGCTGCAAAAGATCAGAATATTCCTGTAGATGTGATCTTCATAGATCTAAGTAAGGCTTTCGATAAGGTCTCCCATTCTGGTCTTAAACTCAAACTGGAACTCTTCGGAATCCATTATACAGTCGTAGATTGGATAAGTAACTTTCTCCATGACAGGAGACAAAGGGTAAGGGTTAATGGGACTCTTTCCTCGTGGGTACCTGTAAACAGTGGAGTTCCCCAAGGCACAATCCTCGGTCCTCTTCTCTTTTTACTTTATGTAAATGAATTACCAACTGTAGCAAAATCATCCGTTCTACTATTCGCTGATGACATAAAAATTAGGAGACCCATACACAATATGTCGGATAGAATAATATTACAGAATGATCTTAGCTCATTGGTGGCATGGTTAGACAGGTGGTCACTTGAAGTAAATCCTAATAAGAGTGTGGTGATGCAATTAAATAACAATGATGAAGCGTATCACTATACAATACGTGGATTCGTACTGCCCAAAGTAAGAAACTATAAAGATTTGGGAGTCATATTAAGTAGTGATCTCAAAACCACTAGTCACTGTAAGGCTGCTGCTGCGAAAGGCTATAGGGTATTATGGTCTATTCGTAGGTCTTTTCAGTATTTAGATGATGAAATGTTTAGATTACTATACCCGATTTATGTGCGACCACATTTAGAATATGGAATTCAAGCAGCGAGTCCTTGTTTCAAGTATGAAGCAGATATGCTAAAGCGAGTCCAAAGACGAAGTACTAAGATGGTACAAGGTCTCTCTGGACTATCTTATGAAGACAGATTGAGACACCTCAACTTATTTCCGTTATCTTACCGTCGAATACAGGGTGATCTAATTTTGGCTTATCGTATACTGAACGATGACCTTGGTATTAACATTTCCTATCTTTTACTTCCGTCTAGGACTGATCGTTTGAGAGGACACTCGAAAAAAAATTCGAAAACCGAGATCAAATCGTTTACGTCTGGAGTTTCGTTTCTCTTATCGAGTAGTGAATTATTGGAATTCTCTACCGGAACACGTAATACCAGCACCTTCTGTTGATATATTCAAGACGAGATTGGACCTCCACAGTATTAAAAACTGCAAGGATTAACACAGGTCGATAGACCTCCTATCCTTATTACTGAAGACTGAAATACTGTGTGCTCGCCTTGAACCGAGCCAATCAAGGTCGCGCAGGCTGATTTGAGTTTGACCATACTTTTCGTCCGTCGCTCAGGTTAGAGATCGAAAGGTAGTGACCAAATTTGGTGTTGCAGCTGTGAATGTCAGCTCAAGACCAGCCAGCTTTTGTTGTTCTTGACACCAAGTTTGTCCTTTAATTTAATATGCGATAACACGCTTAAGTCAAGGCACTATAACTATTGAACTTTATTGGAAGCATGCCCCCAAGACATGTCTTAATTTTTCTGAGTTAGCAAGGCGTGGTTACTATAATAATGTTGCTTTTCATCGTGTTATCCGAGATTTCATGATACAAGGTGGTGACCCAACGGGTACTGGTCGAGGTGGAGCATCAATATATGGCTCTTACTTCGCGGATGAAATTCACCCTGACCTAAAACACACAGGTAAGTCATTTGAAAATTCTGATGACCATGATCCAGGTGCTGGAGTTGTTTCAATGGCAAACGCTGGTCCAAATACAAATGGCAGTCAGTTTTTTATAACTTTGGCCCCTACACAGTGGTTAGATGGTAAACATACTATTTTTGGACGTGTTGCTTCCGGTATGAAAGTTGTCCAGCGCCTCGGTAGAAATCTTTTTTTTCTTCATTCTTACTGTTTTTAGGTATGGTTGATGTTGATCAAGCAGAAAGGCCTCGTGAGCTTATCAAGATAATCCGTGCAAACACAACGAATACTGTATAAATTACCTTATCGATACATAAAGTTCTGTAACGTTTTTTTGTATAAAGTTTTGCTTCTCTGAAACTACGATCTAAGGTCTATGTGTTAACCTGTAAAAGAGAGACCTATTTGGCTTTCACTAAAACTCTAATGTGGATCACCTATAGTATCTACTGGTCCACAAAAGTCGTTACGACTTAGGCCTGAACATTTATTCTTAATATTTGATAATAGTTATACTTGAGTTTTTATTACCCCGCTAGATTGGTAACCTCGTTATCACTTGTCTCAGTTCTGGGCCTATCAATCCTTGTGAATTGAAAAACGTTTAGTGGGCGCATTTTCTGGTTGTCTTGTGCCTGAAGATATAGCCCGAATCCTGCCCCAACGGCACTTATTCTACTTCTGTCCCCTACTCCTTATTATTTGACCACATTCATTTGTATTACTTTTGGTTAGATTTTCATTGCAATTAAGACTAGCTTCGTCTATCATCATGCTCATATGTGGTGTGGCAACGTAGGGCGAATACAGGCCACAAACTCGTTAAACTGCCTAGTCTCACATAAATGCAATATTCCTATTCATGTTGTTTTCAAAATACTACCGAAGCTTACTGAGCATACTAACGTGCTACTTCGTCTTACAAATCTAATTAACAAACGACAGTACCGACGCATCAAGCTAAAACGAAATCCAGTGCTTCTTTAGCTCAGTAGGTGGTAGGATCATAGTAAAACAGGTCGAAACCATGATAAATTACGACGAATATGACTTAGGCAAAATAACTATGATCTTAGTGAAGTCCAAGTCTATTATAAAGTAGCTTGTTCTATTATTTTGTAAAATGACACAGCTGAGATGCATGTGTTGTAAATACTAGGTCATGCGTATCCTTATGGCATTGTGCAACTTCTAAGTTGGCGATACTAGTGTTGGCCAAAAGTTAACTAGATAAAATTGCAAACCGTTACAGATCGATGGTCTTGTTGAGTGCTTGATTATCGCATACACTACTACCGGACATAACCTGGTAACAGATAAAGCAAACATGTAACCCGGCAACTCATTTATATTTGTCAGTTGAAACAGTTAATCTATCGATATTTTAGATTGCATACATTAGGTAAATTATTGATTAATTAGCGTCAACAACTACCGTTTCATTGAATTAAGATCTGACTTCTGATCAGCTATGCTAATAGCATGTTTCAGCGTAGTTTTTAAATCAACAGTGGATATAGTTAGTGCATGCACATGTTTCCACCCTCATTAGTTTTCTTGCACCGAGCAATATCGGTCCTTTTTCAGGTACACAATAGCAAGTAACTAGTAATTTCCCCATACTAATAGCGAATCCTCAAGCTACATCTGAGGTAGTGGACCTTAGGAGGCACTTAGAAAAATGTGTGATATTGGCAATCTCATGTGGTGACTCGAAATTAGTTTAAGGTTCGCTGATACTAGTTCCTTAATTTGTACCACTGTATTCTCTAATCTATTTGGTGATTTATGGACTCTTCCACTGGCAGTGCAATTATTGCCACCCATTTGTTATCATTTTAAATCCCCCTAGCTGAAAGTAATTTAGAGTAGTAACTTAAAATGATACATATAAGACGCCCTACACTTATAGATGTGTGGTTGCAAAATAAGCAATATTAATCCTAGAGACTAAAATGTAACTCAATTACAGTTCGAGTGATTGGTAGTTTACACATTTACGTGAACAAATTGCTACACTAAAATAATAACTTCCGCAGAGAAATGTGCCACTTTTCTCATCAGACCCGGTATTAAGTACTTTAATATCTCGAACTGTACTTATTAACTAAGTTGCCTCTCCAAGAATATTTAGTTACAAACTAAATGTAGTCTAGAGCATAGGCATTGTGTTTCCACACTACTAATTGCTCAACAAAAACTACCCAACCTTATCATTTTCTATGGCTGGTTTCATGTCATAATACCTTTTAAACCCAACTTGTGTTTTGGGTTTCCTTTATTATTCAGTCAGTGGTAACCATGTTTTGCTGCCAATTGACCATTCTATCAAAGTACAAACTGCTTAGCATAAAACAAGCATCATATTATTGCCTATAATGAAATAAAAAGAAACATATTTGAACACTCAGTAATTTTCAAATGCAGTGTACGTGGTTTGTTTTACATAAGGCTGAAGTTCACAGGAAAAAATTAAACTAATTTATAAAAGAGAAGTGAGATTAGCAAAAGCAATAACCGGAAATCATAGTGCTAAAGTGAATTATTAAGTAATATGAAGACTAGCTGTATTCCTGCCAAATAGTTTATTTCCTTTTCTTCATAGTTAGGTTTCCTTGTCTTGCTTGTTCCGCAAGCTGCTTTCGACGTTCGAAGGCGGCTATTTCCTCTTCCAAAAAGCGTTTCTTTTCTTCAAGTTTCTTCTTTTCCTCAGCGTGCGTTTTCTTTAGACTTTCAAATTTGGTTTGTAGCTAAAAATCAATAAAGTAAAAAGCGAATCATAGTTTTAAAGAACATGTTTAGACGATAATCCACATCCCGAGAAGCGGAAGCTGGATCAATAAATAGGGAGGTGCATCAGAGAGCTTGACATTTAATGAAATATTACCAAGGTATTCATGTACAAAAACACCGCTGCGGTACCCAGACTTTAAGGTATCCGACAAGTACGCAGGTGAACATCATAATATAATTAAGGATGAAAGAATTCTTACAAACTGGTCTTATAAGGCTGTGCGTCAATAACTCCTGTCAAATCACCTTTCAGTCATTCCTTTTACATGACTACAGAATTCTCACAAACATGCGGAGATGAAATGGAATGGTCATGATCTGTAGATAAAATACTACGGAGTATTGTCTCTTGGCACTGTTTCACTGCCTAGCAGATGAACATGATTAGCTTAGAGAACCTTTAGTCTCCTAAAATCAACAACTCCGATCCAAGTGGTCAGATAGTAGCAGCACAGCCTTTGCAGAAAGCATGACAATGTGAGATGAGTAATACAAATAAATGTTAGGCGAGTGGGTACCATACATTCTTAAGAAATTTCTATTCTTATTTATTTATTATACTAATTGCGCGATAAATAAAGTGTTTACGCGAAAAAATATCCTGCAAATCAGAATACTCATCTGAACATACTTAGAATATGAAATAAGTACCTGATACTAGTTAGTTGGTATATTTACATAAGCAGATTTTGTACAAGCATAATACCGGAGGCTAACTAAGAGTTAGTCTAAACAATAAACTATTTGTTTTAGAGCACTTTGTAATTTGACAGATCCACGAAAACTGTAAGTGTAGTTCATATATAGGTGGCTATTAATTTAAACTATCCCTTCACAATATACAGAAAATTAATGATATTGATAAATGAAATAAGATATGAAAATGCGTTAAGAAAAGTTGTATTACATAGATGAAGAGGTATTGAGACCCTATTATTTCATACATGGTGGTTAAGAAGACACTAATTAGCCCACACCAGCAGGTTTAATTAAGCAAATAAACTCGGCCATATATTTTGTAACAGTTTCCTCCCTACGAAATCTTGTTAACGAAATGACCAAACAAAATACAGAACATCTAACTAGTACCGTATTTATTGCTTGTTTCGTCATTGTTAAGTCGCTTCATGGATTCTTCCCAACAGGTAGATATACATTTTTGTTAGGAAGTTATGTTAAGTAACTTGCCTCACGTTCTGCTTCTTTTAAAACTTGTTCCTTTTCTTTAACACGTTGAACAAACATTTGTCTCATTTCTTCTTCCTTTTGTTGTAATTCTTTTCTTTGAAGCTCACGACGCTTTTCATAGGTTTCCTATCGTGGAAAATAGAAAAGGAACATGAAAGGGGATATAGATAATCAGTTTCTATGACACATCAACAACAAAAGGTGCATACATGCACAAACGGGAACTTTCTAACAAAATAGCTTGAATTAAAAAGTTCTATAAGCTTGAAAGTTTTGGTAGTTGATTCTAATATTTGGAAATCTAATAAAAAACAAAATCAGACTTGTACACTAGACCACATGAGAATTAGTAATAATAATATTATCCAACCACCTTAATCTCTGTGCTTTATAGGAATGAGAGTTAGTACAAAAACCATGATAATGTGATTCAATCACCTGACTTTCAAGTACTAGGTTGCATGTTCGAATCCCACTTTGCCCGCATTGATTTCAATAACATTCCGGCAATGTAACAAAACCATAAACCGAAATTTTTGCTGCAACGTAGGACCAGGCACGTATATGCATCGGTCCAAGTTGCCTCTAACAGCACTCAAGAGTATATGACTCATCTAAACATAGAGACTAGTACAACAATGTGTGTTGCTCTAAGTCCCCATACCACATTAACACTGGATGTAAATAATAAAATGAATTACAAAAGAGGTTGAAATAATGTAAGTGCAGTGATAATAACAAAGACTAAACACCTTCAGGAGCATGGCTTGAAAAGACAGAGTGGGAAGTTATGCATAAAGGAATACTTGAATTTAAGATCGAAAAGAAAATAAAGACCAAATGCATTTGGACCACTGTGATCGATTCTCAGTTATCGTCCAATGTCTTTAACCACTGGTTACGAACATCGTGTGGACCTCAACAAAGTAGTTTACATCTACTAGCATGGCTTAGAATAACAAACAATGACTTGGTGAACTTATTTCATTTCCCGTTTTTTTCACCAAAAGCTTTCTTCCAACACGTTTTAACACCAACAAGCATCCCCCAGTAAATGAACCAGTACTCTGTTGTGGAGTTGTACTAGATTAGTTTATCTCCATCGATAGTATAAATACTAATTAAAGCTTCTAACATCACCTAATAAGTACCGCTTTATGTGTTCAGCTTCAAGCCACCTTTTACGTGAGAATTAGAGATACTAAGTGTTTGAACATTCAACCTAAGAGTTGGAAGTCAGGTGGTTCAATTATCGAACCATAACCCCTAAATAGTTAGTACAACAAAGGTAATTTCACAAACCTTTTCGGGTACAGAAAGAGACAAGAATTTTTACCTGAAGTGACATTTTTTCATCATCACGAAATCCCATTTCGATTAAGCGTTGACGTCGATAAGTCTCATAATGTACACCATGTGTACGTTCACGTAAATCTTCCATATTCACACGTAATAGCATCTCTCGAAGTCTGACAAAGTCACAGTGATTCTCGTTTTCTACTTGAACTGAACCCCATGGATATTGTCGAACACGTACTGTTTTTCCATTGATTTTAGCTTCTTCTGAGCTACCCACAACAGCGAATGGGATATGTTGCTACAACCAAGTAATTAGTAGAGAAAATTACGGTGAAACCAACGTAGAATTTGAGGGTTACACAGCCTGTCATAAACAACGTAAGACCGGCATTAGAAATTTCACTGATCTGACACTTGTTTTATATTCTCAAAGCAGAATTTATTTCACATTATTTTTCGTCTCCGTACAAGATGACTTAATAGATTCATATATGGCTTGATTGTTTGAAATGTACTGTAAAAATGTTAGTTTGGTACATAAAGATATCTTCAATACTACCCGACCACCCAAAACAAAGCAGACAGAGCGGGATTTATACCGAAGACTGGTTGAAAATCGAAAGTCTCAACTACTACACTTGCTTCGGTTTGGTCACCCAGACAGTATCCCAGCCCGCATATCAATCGAATAACTTATGTGGCGCATATCTGTTTGGTGCCTCCTTATATCAGTGTTTATTTTAAATAAATAAACTACTCCATCAGTGTAACGGTGAAAACTGAACATTACCTCTTTAAAATTGTGTCCGGACTAACATTAATAACACTGAATACCTGGATATTTAAAAGTGCTGATTATAAAGTATTATATTTAAACTTGTTGGGGTTATGGGCCTAACATGGAAGGCCCCCAAATGCCCTGGTACGGCCGAGAGTGGGGAGAGTCCGTTCTCCCTCTCGAAATGCTCTCACATGGCCACGCGTATATAGCCTCTGCCAGGGAAGTCCTACTTACTGCCTTCTCGTGGCGGGGGTGTTGTTTACGAAAATGAGAGGACGAAAAGCGGATGTCCGGCGCTTTAACCGGATCCTAAACCAATGGTGCACATGGGCTCCAGTATCCCGAAGGAACAAATGGCGTATGAACCAATCATTGGTCACCGGCTACCATGGGACTGCACCTCCTCACGATGCTCCACTGCCTTGTGGATCAGACGTTCAGGTCAAAGGCTCGGGGTGTGGCCCTCTAAGAAAACCACCTGCTTCGGTTTGGGCACCCGGGCAGTATCACAACCCTCACACAAATCAAATGAGATTTGTGTGGCGCATATGTATTTGGTGCCTCCTTGTACCAATATCTATGTGTTAAAATAAATAAACATTTTTCACTAACTGATCTTTATTTTTATAAGGATATACGAATAATCCATCTGTAGTGTGAATCGAACGACAACTCAATTAAATGCTGGGAAATTTTGAATGTTAAATAACCTCTTATATTTATAAATATACAGTGATATCTTAGGAAAAAGTTACAAATGACAGTAACCCTGCATACACAATATGAAAGAAATTGGCATTCATGAGATCTGAAGTCGCGTAGTTCAGACGTTTATTAGATAAGACATTTGGATTGATAGATGGCATAAACAAATCATAACTACGATTCAGAGCCTGTTGATGAGTAAAATCAAGCACGGCACAACAATATTGTCGTTCAGTTCACTAGCCACATCACATTATGTTCAGGATTACAAATAATAGTTAAAAATTAAAGAAAAAAGGGTGAGACTATAATTTATGGACAGACCAATAAAATGAAGGATGGTAAGTACTAGATTTGGGCGCGAAATTCATTCACACACATAGTTATATAACATTTTGGCATTATAGATGTCACTTGTTGATGAAAACCCTTACTTTAATTCATAACCTTAAATTCTAACTTTAAACCCTAATTCATATTAACTTATTACTCTTTTGGCACTGGTAAGTAGGTGAATTGTCTCAGGGTCACTTTAGAGTCACTCAAAGGTCGTTCATAAGTTAGTCTCACCAAAAAAGTATTTGGAACATAATGAAGTTACACTGTTAGCATTGCTGAAACATATTAGTTTTTCTCCGGCAACCAGCAACACATCTAGTTATAGCTTTCCTACTTTATAATGGCGGGCTTCAAAGAGGAGCTGGGAAAAATTTGTTTGTGTGCCTTGCTAAAACGAATGTGGAATTTACCAGAGAACACTAAAATTCTTTTGTATATAAGTGGCGCCTATAACTTCCTTGGGTTAGTCTACCAAACATCAAACGAATAATCCAGATTTAGCTCAAGGTACTATGTATTCAAAATTTACAACCGAAAGATACCCGTCATCTACATACCTCCAGGAGTGCAATCACATGCATTTAGCATAACGCCATGAAATTAACAAACTATATATATATATATATATATATATATATATATATACCTGAAACTACATTACAAAGAAACCTACATTCATTACACTATTAGTTTCACTGACAGCTTCATCATCAGTGGGAAACTGGTAAATACCAATTTCATTAGACTGTATTTCACTGAGGATCTAAAATTTATTGAGACAAAAGTCAGTAAATGAAGAAACGTACTCTTGCTTTAAACTTTTGTAATTCAGATTTGGTTATTGTATCTGATTTTGCTATTATAGGGATGACATTAACTTTGTTCTCCAATTTTTTCATTGCGACCAAATCAATTGACTTTAGACTACATGAAACAAGAACAACCATGAGTAACTGAAATAAAACAGTAGGAACAATTCAGGTAAATTAATATGTTGTACCCTCTCCATACACATTTATTTCCTGACTGTAGTGATCGGGTTTATTTGTTGAGCTGAACAAACCAATGTTTTTATTTTGCTAGTTTATATTCTCTTCTTGAATCGTGTATTTCATGCCTAACCTTTTTTATTGCCATTGATACTATGTCTTCCCCTACCAATTTGGGATTTGGGCTGACAACTTCATCCCTGTGCTAATCGGGTATAGTAACTTAAGCCAAAGTGCATACGTACTAGGTTCTACGTTGTGACTGTCTGGTTGATCAACATATCAAGCTACAATAGTTCTACAAACAAATAGTAACTAATAATTGCTTTCATGACTGTAGTAACAGTTGAATTTATCAAATGAAGACCTATTTACGTATGACAGAACTACTGAGTGACTAACATTGATATTTACCATTGAGTTGTGGAAAAAATACATCAGTCGATGAAGCATTGATCTCTTACCAAGTGTAGTAGATGATAGAGATAAATGGCTGATGAAAAGAAAAAAGTTCAAAATTGTTCAGTGTTAATGTGGCATGGGAACTTTGGGCAACGCACATTGATGTGCCAGACTCTATGTTGACGATGTCTGTTTGCCTAAAAATTTAGCAAAATTCGATAGTCGTTTGACCTGTCAAATGTGGAAGATTTTAGGAACAAACATCGACGAAGGGTTGAAATTTGCAATGTTTCAGCAGAAATGTCATAACTTCAAGCACAGGATTAAAGATGTCAGGTTACATTATTCATCCCACATATTCACAGGGACAGCATCATATATTTTACCCATAAATTAAGTTGCTCGATATTATCTTCCAGTCATTGGGCGATCAGTAATAGAAAGTTAAGGGAAATGAAATAGTCACAACTATACTGTTTTTAAAGTGAGTGTTAATTCAGACCTACTAGTGCTTGAAATGTCACACCAATATGAAAATAACATGACATTCAAAGTTTCAGAATTACGTCAAACTAATTTTTTGTACCTATTATAAACCATCCAGTAAACCCATTCATAAATACATGCTAACATCGGCCAAACGGACTGTAAAATTTGAAATCTTAGTCCGTCACCAAGATCTTGGAAGTTGAGGTTTGAGTCAAAAACATGATTAGATAGATGTAAATACGATATTACATTTAGCAAGTGCGAGCATATCTCTACAATACTATAAATCATACTTGACGAGACTGTGAGCGGTAACAACTACCTACTTGTAGCATGAGGTAAAACTTTAGAAAACAAAATATTGTCTGAATGTACAGTGAGTAGGAAAGTTACCTGTGTCCAGTAGGTGCAATAAAATAAAGACAAACATGAATCCTTGTGTCGTGAAATGCTTGCATAGACCTTTTCATTTTCAGTTCTTCTTGTAGATAGTTTTCAAACTGGTTATCGATATAATCAACAACAGGTTTTATACTATAAAGCGTTAGGTGAATATCAAAATATTACTTATTTTCTTTATTAATCTGATCACCGTACCCGCAAGTCTCTACTACCGTTAACTTAAGCTTAACATTAGCTTCTTTGAGATCTGTGGAAAGATCTAAATGGAATACACATATTCCTACCATATGTCACAGCTTTTAACTTGGGATCTGCAAGATCATGACTTGATGGACTGAAATCAAACTTCTGGTTAAATAGAGTCTCTAGTAAAGTTGACTTTCCGATTCCTGTCTCACCTACAAAAATTCATATGGGACAAAATAGACGAACCGACACATAGAATATTAAACACGAACCCTTGGCTGATAGCCTTGTTGACCAGTTGATCAGGTAGACTGTCGAAACCAACATGTCCAGTTAGTTTTAGAGTGCGCACATCAGGAGGCTAAGATATTTACATGGTGAATACAACAAACCAATGCCTTTAGAACATCTGCGGTCATTTTCCAAACGGACGCAGCTGAAAGTGTCGAGTCTAATGTCCAATATATTCAGTTTCAGTTTGGAAAGGACAGGAGGCTTGATGGCCTGTGTTATTTCTGGCAGTGGTGTTCTCTCAGTTGATCCAACTTTCTTTTGAAAGAATCGACGGATGGAGCTTCAACCACGTGCTGAGGTAATGAATTCCATACGCTGATAATTCGATGGGAAAGTCGATAATCAGCTGACAAATAATTTGTTCTAGGCTTGTGAACTTTTTTGGAGTGCCGTCATAAATTCTCTGTTTTGGAAGACAAGAAAAATGAGGGCATATCAGATGCAAATTTATCACTAAGCAATTTGAAAACTGTAATCAAGTCGCCTCTAGTTCTACGATATGACAAAGGGGATAGGTTTAGCTTGGCCAGTCGAGCATCACACGGAAGCTTCGCTATTCCGGGAATCAGTTTAGTTGCTGTTCTCTGGACCTCTTCCAAAAGCTCACTATCTTTTTTTAAGCAGGAGGCTAGCCGTTTGTATGCAGTACTCAAGTTTAGGACGTACGAACACTGTATACAAAGTCAAAAACGTTTGAGCGTCGACATGAGTAAAAGCCCTACGTATTGACCATAAAGTTCTGAAAGCCTTGGCAGCTATTTCGCGGCAGTGTGCAGTAGTCTTTAGATCTTGGCTAACGATGACTCCTAAGTCATTATGTGTCTGGACAACAGGTAGCTGAGTGTTATTCACCGTGTATGTATCTGTACCTTGATGACCGATATGCATGGCAATACACTTGGAAGTGTTTATCGGAAGCTGCCAGGTATGAGACCACTCAGATAATTTCTTTAGGTCATTTTGGAGTTCTAAACTATCACCCTTACATCGTATCGTTCTCCATATCTTGACATCGTCAGCATATAGCAAGACCGATGATGATAATAAGCGAGGAAGATCATTTACATACAAGAGAAATAGCACTGGCCCCAAAACTGTACCCTGGGGAACTCCACAAAGCACAGTTTCCCAGCTAGATAACTTTGAGTTCACCCGTACTCTTTGTTGGTGCCCAACTAGGAAGTCTTCTATCCACATCAATAGATTGCCTCCGATTCTGACATATTTTAACATATATAACAGCCGGTTGTGAGGAACTTTGTCTAAAGTTTTGCTGAAATCAATGTAGGCTACATCCATAGGTCACTTTTGGTCCTTAAGGGCGCACCAGGTTTCACGAGCGACTAGTAAGTTAGTGAAATAAGAATAACCTATTCTGAAACCGTGGTGTTTCTACGAAAGCATCCGGTTTACATCGAGGTACTTAAACAGCTCCTTCCAAATAATCTTTTCTAAGATTATAGCAACTACACTAGTTAGGCTAACGGGTCAGTAATTCTCAGGTTTATGTTTCGTACCTGTTATGAATACAGGACATACTATGGCGTTCTTCCAGTATTTTGGTAGACGACCCTGCGTTACGGATAGCTTAAAGCATATACTTAAAGGGTTCGCAACGAAGTTAGATAATTCCTTTAGTAGCCTAGGATGCAATTCATCCGGTCCCGTGGATTTACCTATGTCAAGCTTATTTAGCAGACCAAAGACATCGAGTTTTTTAATGTTCGCGCTATCAGGTGTATGTGCGGGGGGGTTAGTATACGCTGACGGGAAGGGTGCTTCTATGGTATATACATTGCTAAAGTGGTTTAAGAACACTTGAGCCTTACCAAAGTCATCTTCCACTAATGATGTGGCAGTACTGTCTCCCCATAGTGCAGGAATAGTCCTTCTTCTTTTTTCCTTTGGTTTATATAGGAATACAAGCGTTTAGGACATTCTATGGGTTCCTTAACAATTTTTCGTTCGTACAGCTTTCTAGACTTACGGAGGGTCGAGGCACAGGTATTCCTAGCTTTTTGGTACTGAGATTTTGTCTCATCAGTTCCCAGTAACCTAAATCTATCCCATATATATACGTATATATATATATATATTGACAAAAAGTATGTGAAAAGAGAAGACTGAAGCAGTTCACAAGGAATATTAAGCTAGGATTCAAGCAGTATCCTTTCTAAAACATACATAGAAATATTCTAAAAAATGAAAGCGGTATAAAAATTGGATACATATACTGGTCATGATTGTGTGGTGACCTACTTTTATTAACAGAACGCGATTGGTGTAATGGAAACAATTACTAATATAACCAATTGTACCAGTGATTGTTTTACTGTACTTGTTTGTCTAACTGTACCAAAGGCTCTTTCTTCCTTCCGTTGATTGTGACCTTGTACGCTCTTACGTTTGCTCAATGAATCCGCTTGTACTCCTTGGCATGATCTCGGTATTCCTTCGATACCACGAGAACGCCAGCAAATACATCTGGACTACAGTCATCATCTGCCTTCTGATATTGGCCTGAGGGGATCCTATTGGTTAACTAGCACGTAGTCTTCTTGTAGTGGTGATCATAGTCAACCGCGACTCGACACCACACTACAATTGTTTGAAAACAGCATACTTTTTCATAGTATTGATCGTTATATTACGCATCAAGACCACTGTTTTTGCTTTAATTGAAATCTTTCGGTAAACGTAATCCACAAGAGTGCAGCTTTTTCCTTAGAAAAGTTTACCATCTATACTTAACGACTACGGATGCATAAAACTAAAGGCACTGATACTTAGTCTTCGTCGTTGAATATATCTTTGAGCACCGTTTGTATCCATACGTGTTAAGATCTTTCTGTAGGTATTAATTTCGGATTTTTCCATTGTTTCTTTGTTTTATTTATATAGAAACATGAAAAAAATCTATGGTGCAATCGAAACATGGTTGTGTAGACCAGCGTGCTATTTCCCGGTTGATGAAGGAATGCAATGTGACAACCGCAATAAGTGGTATCACAATGTGTGCACCGGATTCCCACCGGCTGCATATAAACGGTGCTACAAGCCATTATCAAGTTGGTTGTGTAAATCATGTTGTTCCACTAAGTCTCTGCTGAATCTAGAAGCGATCGAGCTGCTAAACTGAGCTAGACAATTTCCCTCTGATAAACGGGCAACAGCAGATGATTCGAACTCTGCTTTCAAGGAAATTGAAAGCGTTATTACGAGTCCAGCTCTGGACGCAAATGAGACCATAAAGGCTGACCCCATCTGGGAAACAGATAAGCATATGGATGTAAGCATTGTTACAAGGAGAAAGAAAAAGAGCGCTGAGAAGAAGAAACTACTTATATGAAGTACTGAGGCGTGTGAATCTGAGGGTTAAGTTCCGGATGCACATATCAATGTAATACAAACTATAGGGGATCTAAGTCTGGGCAATGTAGAGGAAGTGATCAAGAGACAAAATAAGGTAAATGATTGGCTCACAGACACATCAAGGTAAAGAAAAGTAGGAAAACAGAACGTAACCTCTGCGTTCAACGCGGAATTGAAATTGGAGTGCAAGGAAGTGACGGTTTCGGGAACTAAAATTCCACAGCATATCAAGACAGACCACTCTGAGAGGTCAGTCATTTTTCAAAAATTAAGAGAATATTCCGACAAGGAACCAAAGGCTAGATTTGAGTACGACCTCTTTCATATTAAGTTCTTAATAAGCAAGCTACTCCTAGAAACAGTTTCAGAAGTTAGCATCTGTAAATTTTATAGAATAAGACAAAAAGTGGATTTTGAATGTCCTCGGAAAAGCTGCTACTTGAAGATTATATTTGCCACTGTTGGAGAAAGGAACCTGATTCTAGGTAACTCACTTAATCTGATTGGATCCGGATATACGTCCGTGAGTATCTCAGCTTAGCTGATCGTATTAAGAGACGAGCTGCAGAAGTGAAAATAAACAAGCGCCGCTCAAAACGGTGAAAGAACCCTCGTTTTGAAAGGTTTACAAATCGTAATAGTTTGTACCACCCAAAACACTCTGAGTGGTAAGGATTTTTTCCTGAATAAACTTAAGTCCCCACGTAACAAATGTAAAAGCCTTGTAGTAGGCGACTTTAATGCACCGTATATAAACTGGGTTAACTTAGAATTAGGGTCATCGATAACGTCATTCGATTGCAAATTGTTAGAAACCTTGATTGGATTTGCTTTATTCCAACACATTAGAAATTCCACACGATATAATTTACGAACCTCTTCTTTTCGTTTGGATTTAGTCTTCACACACGGTGATGACGTTGTTCAAGTGACTTCTCTTCCACCACTAGGGAGAACTGACCATGTCGTCATATTATTCAAATTCATGGCTGAGATTGCCTGTCAAACAGTTGCGCCGGCCCGTCTTAATATATGGAAGGCAGATATTGAGGCGATCAACTTCGCAGCATCGACCAAAAACTATGAAATTGACTCAAGGGTATCAGTACAACAGGTATAGACCCATTTCAGGCAGTTATACAATCAGGTAACTCAACCATACATACCCTGGACAGTCCCAAAAAGAAGAAGCACGGCCGTCCCTGGATAGGCCGGGATATTCGACGTTTACAAAGACAAAAGGAGAAATGTTGGAATGTTGGTATCAACATTGGCACAGCAGGTACGATGGAACGCTACAGATCGGTAAGATACACGTGTATAACTAATATTCGGGAAGCTCAAAAAAACATGAAATGCAGTTGTCACAATCTGCACTCAAGCAGCCCAAGAGAATGTCCTCGTACGTAGACCACAGAACAAGGATGCATCATTGGATTCCCAACCTAATTAAAGAAGGGAGTGAATCTGAAATGATAGAGGAAGATCAGGAAAAAGCAGAGGCTATGGGTGACTATTTTGGGGCAGTTTTCACTCAGGAGCCTCCTCTAGACAAAGAACCAGACCAAAATACAGAGTCAACAAACCACCTGCTGACCGTGGACTTCGATCAAGACTACATACTTAAGGCTCTTAGCACCTTGGACATGGAAACTCAGCAGGACAAGATGAACTAGACCTCAAAATCTTGAGACATATTGCACATTATATTGCGGCTGCACTGACTGTAATATTCAACATGCCACTTGACCGAAGTGTGTTACCTATGGACTGGAAGGACGCAATTGTCACTCCCATACATAAAACAGGACCAAGACAACTCCCATTGAACTACAGACCTGTAAGCC